GAATACTGTCTTACATAAGTTTATTTTCTTCCAGGATTATGTAAACCCAGTTTGTTTTTGTCTTTTCTAATGCTTCGAAATTCCCTGTAGCTACTTAAAATTCTAAGTTGCACTTATTAAAGGCAGCATCTAAGAGACTATTTTGACTGCCTTGGTTATTTAATACATGTTTTTTGCTGCTAGGAACTTGCAATTCCCGTTGAAATGTAAAACCAGACATAATGTTCCAGGGGCAAATATAGCTTTTGTGTTCTCTTTGCTATTAGCATTTCTTTCCGAGCTCTGCAATCTGCAGTGTTTGTTTGCATGATGAGCAGAAGCAATCTCTCTCCAACAAGAAGTAACTGAGGAAGAAATGAACAATTGTGTGCTAATTACGTAGCTTATGCCTGTTTCAGAAGACTATTCCTGTTAATTCTGTTTGTTCTGATTTAAGCATGTCTGGTAAGCCTTATATCCCAGTAAACTTTCCTACCACTTTAAGGCCAAGCACTTATTTTCTTTTTCTGCAGGTATGATGAGGTCCTATACAGATCCTCTCAGGATCTGCAACCCAAGCACATAGTCAGCTACCTCCTCACACTTAGGTAAGGTAATTGCTGATACCAGCATCCTTCTTTAGTAAGGATAAGGGGTGCCTGCTTCCCCTAGCTGGCTTGCAGCTCTCACATCTATACTGCGTTGAAAAGAAAAATAGAGGAAAGATGTAAATTTGTGGGACAGTCTCTCGGGAGCTGAAAAGATATGGAGAAGGATAACAAATTACATCGTAAGTGGTGGAGATGAAGGGTGGAGATAGCTAGAAGGGAATCAGGAGTCTCTTGAAAAACTGCTTCCAAGGACAAAGAATCATTTGACTCTAACCTAGTGCCAGGAACCAAAATCATGCCAGACTGACTATATCCTTAAGAGGAGATTTGAGCTGGTAATACTCATAAATCTCAAAACTTTAGCTATGAGACTTTTGTCCAAAAAACTTTAAACCACTGATCTCAGATGATGCACTGAGTTGGACAAAGCACTAGTAATGGCTGTAAGTCACACTGGGGATGCAGACTCCATGGGGGGGTTCCCCACGGGGACTTGTGTGACTGAACAGGACGTAGAACACCAACATAGAATTGCTGGAGAAAGTTGTGGAGTCTGTGCATGGGGGAGATCTACATAAGTTAGAAACAATGTATGAAGAGATGCATAATGTTTTTACTCTCCTGTAATCTGCTTGGTAGTGTATGACATACATACTAACTATTTTAAGGCTACTTGGTGTTGCATTCTGTGTTGTTGCTTTTTTACTTGGTAGACATATTTCTATCTAAGTAAGTTTGGAATTACTGTCTTAACTTTTACAGAATGGCTCAAGTTAAACTAGGAAAATGTTTTATTTATCTTGTTCAGATACAATACTGTAAATTAACCATGCAATCGAATGAGTCTCAGAGAATAGATTTGTATTGGCAAAAGAGAACAGCTAGGTGAAAGGACAGAATAAAAACGTACTGATGTGGAACGTTCTGCCCTCGTGGGGTCCCATCTGGAATCTGCATCCAGGTCTTGGATGTCAGGGGGAAATCTTTTACAGAGAGAATGGTGAGGTGCTGGAACAGGCTGCCCAGAGGGGTTGTGGATGCCCCATCGCTGGAGGTGTTCAAGGCCAGGTTGGATGGGGCCCTGGGCAGCCTGGTCTGGTATTGAATGTGGAGGTTGGTGGCCCTGCGTATGGCAGGGGGTTGGAGATTCATGATCCTTGGGGTCCTTTCCAACTTTGGCTATTCTGATTCTGAGGCTCCTAGCTCAGGAAGGATATGGAGAATTTGGAACAGGACTGGAGGAGGGCCACAAAGCACCTCTTCTATGAAGACAGGCTGACTGATACGGGTTTGTTCAGCCTGGAGAGGAGAAGGTTCAGGTGAGACCTGATAGTGGTCTTCCAGTACTTAATGGAAACTTGTAAGTACGAGGGAAACTTACTTTTTACAGGGATAGATATTGATAGGACAAGGGGGAATTATTTTAAACTAAAAGAGGGGAGACCTAGATTACATGTTAGGGGGAACTTTTCCAGTGGGTGAGGTGTTGGCACAAGCTGCCCAGAAAAGCTGTGGATGCTCTGTCCCTGGAGGTGTTCACGAGCAGCTTGAATGGGGCCCTGGGCAGCCTGATCTACTGGTTGGCAACCTTGCCCAGTGGTGGAACCAGATCTTTGAGGTCCCTTCCAACCCAAGCCATTCTACAATTCTATGAAATGTGAATAACGTACCTTAGCAGTGACAAGGCTTTCCAGACAGGTTCTGTTGGGGGTGGGGAACAAAATTTTTACAGGCACCGAGTTGTTTATGGTGTACCCTGACAATGTGGTGTGCCGTGACAACATGCAGGCTCCAGAAAACCATGGCCTCCCTCAGCAGGGTTGAAACAGGCTGTCAGAAGGAAGGCTGTAGTACACTGCACTTATGGCTTTCCTAGTTCTGCTGTTTTCTGTAGCCTGCAGCACTGCTCTTATAGAAAGATGTCCTCCTTTTCACCTTGCTTTCCATTTCAGCCATCTTGCAGCTGTGGCACATCAAACTCTTCCTGTGAAAGGCAGCACACCTGCACTAGCTCAGGTATGGCTCAGCATTGGCACATAGCAGGAGGGCAGCCCAGAAATGATTCTCTAGGACTTTGCTCTACTGTGTAACCAGTTGGCACAGCGTGTGCCTCCAGACTGCCCTGCAGGGTGACACCACTCTGGGATGGCAGAAGTTGCTGTTTGTGGCTGTACCTTGCAGAAGGGGCTGCTTCAAAACAGAGCAGTCCATAAAGAACACTGCTCCAAACCAAAACAACTCCCCTTCCTTCTCATCGCTTTTCATTCTGAACTTTTGAAGTAAATGTTTAAATATTTAACTTGTTAATTTCTGACAGTTTCCATTAGTACATCCATGGGAAGAGAATGAAGAGCTAATGCAACTTTTCTCCTCCCTCTTGCCACCTACATATCCCAAGTTGTCTATATTGCCATTCTAGCCAAAGCAGCGAGGCTGACAACTCCTGATGTACAGTTCCAAAACGATGCAGATTATTTTCTACTAACATCCCAGGCAGTGTTGACCACTGAAGTACTCCATGAATGCTATAACTACACTGCCTTATTTTACCTATTTCAAAAGCCGTTACCTATCTGATTTTGGTAGGAAGTCACATTCAAGTGCAGAGGTGTGTGGGGGGAGAACATTACTGTTGGCTTTGTGAAGCCCTCCATAGCTCAGCTTTGTTGCTGTAGGTGTTCCCGCCTTCGAAGATGGTTCTGTGCATTCTTGTAGAACACTAAGATGGTTCAAACTGCAAGGAACACTTCAGATCCTTGTCTTGTGAGAAGTCCTTCTCAATATCCTAGTGTGCTACCTTTTGATAGCTTTTCTTCTTTTTTTAGCAAAGTTTTGGAGCAAACCCTTCCCAAATATCCAGTCATGGAACAGCTAATAAACACTGACAGGGCAATGAAATTTTCAGAGCAGCCTCAAGCTGACAGCCTCTAATCCACGTGAAATAAGAGGATCGATATCAGCAGGGTCCTCTGTCTGTAACAGCCTGTGCTATCATGTTGCATGAAAGTTTTGCACTTTACAGTAATCATTAGTTGTTCTGTGGTCTCTCTGCCATTAGGAGGTTATGTTTCTTTTGTTGTGGTCCTTGTTTACAACTGGCATGATTAGGTTGGGCTGGACACTGCTGACAGAAAGTGTCCCTTTGACACTATCAGCAGCTGGTGTGAATTCTGCCAGTGCTGGTGTTACTTAGTGCTCAGGTGGTGTGCATTCTTACCTTTAAAAGGCTGCTGCTGCCTGCTGTGTCCTGTTCTGCAGCAAACACAAGCTAACTGTTGCTCTTGTTTTGCAGGCAAGGCTCTGTCTCTTTCAAGCCACACGCTCCGTTCTAGCCAACGGAATGAAGCTTCTTGGCATTACACCTGTAACTCGAATGTAATGAGGCTGTATGCTGTATGTGACTTCATAAAGGTTATTTTTCAAGAGAATACTTTCCTGTGAGTCACTGCTAATGGTCTTGGGTGTCTGTACTGCAGAAGAGCACATACACTACAACCGTTTGAGGGAGGCAGTGGTTGTCATAATTACTTTTTCCCATACAGTAGTAGTGCATTTAAGACACTAGGGTGGGGTAGTTCCCATAAAAGACAACTGTTCTATATTTACCTTTGTACATATAATGCATCCTTTTAGTAGAGGAAGTAGTATTACACTGTACTGCCCTAAGCAATGGAAGTTCTCCCCTTCTGCAGTTGTTGCCATTGTGTGCGTAAGCCTCATGGTAGGAGGGGTGCAGCTGCACCAGGGATTGTAACAGACCCAATTGATCAGACATTTTCATGTTGTATTGCATTCCCCCTTCACCAGATCTGTCCAGTCCTGTTCCTCTGTTACACTCACCTAATGACTGAGGTGGAGATGGGTTTGCTATGCAGCTGGTGGAGAGGAAATCAGTGCTCTCTCTTCACAATCAGAGGGGGTAAATACTGGTTGGCAATGCCAGAGCACAGTGTGGTTGCAGGCAGCTGGAACATCACACCAAAATCAGTGCAGCTGGCTGCTCCAGCCTCTGAAATGCCAGGCAGCACCCACTGCCACCAAAGGGGCTGACATACCTGAGTGGTACTTTGGCAATGTGCTCTGTCCCAAATGCACAGAACAGTCAGCAGAAGGCAGAGAGGAACACTGTAACCTCTCTCATTGGAACAGAATTTAAGTATCTTGGTTATTGCTGTGTTGAATGTGCCCCACACTGAAGTAAAACTCAGCCAGTTAGCTTAGGGCTGAAGGAATTTAAACAAGATAAAAATCTGATCAGATTTTTGCCTTCACTTTCAATTTCAACAAGTTTTCCCTAAACACAGCTAACATTTTCAGGAAGGGTTGAGCAGAGTGAGGCATCAGGGAGGGTTGGAATGATACAGCTGGCGCTCTCAAATTAAAGTCAAAGCATAACATGCACTACAGGAACTGTTTTCAAGCACCACTTTGTTATGCAAAAAGAGTTTGGAGAAAAAGTGCACAGATCATCTTCCAGTCTGACACCTCATACTCAAATGCATAAAAGAAAAAAGCATTACAAATCATCCTAAGAACACGAATGAAGTACTTTGTTCATATGATACATATTACCTAGAAGAGAAACCTCTCCTGTGACTAATCGCAGCTGCCAAATGGTTTAAGAAAAAATGCTGGCAGTAATTGCTCTTTTTAAAAGGTTTTTTTTTTTTTGAAGCTTTATGGCATTTTTTTCCCCTCCCAGGGTAAAGAAAGTTCATCAAATACAGCATAAGAACCAGTTTTCCTCCATTATATACATTATATACAGTTGAGCGTTCAGTTCCTTCATTCTGCTTTCCTTGTAAATGGAACTCCTCATTGTCCAACACGAATGAAGAACGCCTTCAGTAAGACACCCATCCAGCTCCCAGCAGGAAGGAAGCCTCAGCACCAACCACCGGTAATTCCACATGTGAAATAGAAAGAACTTCTGTTTTTAATCCATCCCCCATAAACCATTTCACAACTAGCTTAAGGCTAATTTAAAAAAATCAGTTTTTATGTTTTTAAAGTCCTTTTTTGTCTTGTCTGTCCATTTTCAAGGACATTACACAGCAACAAGTCTCTCTTTCGAACTTTTAGTCTCTGAGGGCTGGATTTTTGTGGTGTCTTGTCGAGGTAATCCATAGAGGTAAATAGAAACGCAGACCAGGAGAGCACCCAGGGTAAAGGTAATAGCTGAAAAGAGACAAAACAGTTTAAGTAAACACCTCTGTGTAAGAAGAAACTTTCAGAAGACTGAGCTCTGTAAATTATGATGTCTGAATGACAGTCTCAAAGTTAAACAGAACTAACCAGGACAACGTGCTTTTTTTAATTCACAGGACTTAAAATCACACTCTGTTACTGAAAACTCTCAAGTGTTCACAGTACCCCACAACATTTCAGTTAGTGTCACATCAGCAAGAATGGGGACATGATCAGAAAAGCAAGGGTGAAACACCTCTTGCAGTTCCAGGTGCAATCTGACAGGCTTACATTACCATAAACTTAAAAACACAGTGGATGTGTTTATGCAGCCAGCAATAACACTTTGTGTTTTCAAACCTTGGTCCACTTGAGAAATACTATTAATGAGGCTTTCATAGAAAGAACAACCAGCAGTCCAGGTTTGGTTTGTGCCCAAACAACAGAAAGGTGTTCAGTCCAGGTGAGTTCTTAAACTAGCTGCTTTTCATCACCTGATTTAAGGTGCTCTTTTTCAGTCAGCAATGGTGCACGCAATGGCATGCAAACCTTCCTTAAATTCTACCTCATTGATACCAAATCAGAACAGTGTTTTTTCCACCACCGTACCATACCAGCACTAGATTATGAGTATTGTAGGAAAACTGAAAAAAAACCACATAGTGAAAGACTAAACAGGAGCCACCGGATGCATTAACAGATACAGAACTCCTTTGTGGCTGTGGGACAACCCGAAGCAATTTGCTGTTCCCTCTCACAGATGTTTACCCACCTAAGGCACAACCCCAGGCACTGTTTGATGTGCTCTCACACACCTCTGGGCATAGCAAAGGGGAAGGTGGAAGCTGGTGCAGCAGCACGTGTAACTTAACAGGATATGGTAAAACCTGTGCTGAAATAGGTAAGGAATTACTAATTTGAGACTGGCTGTAATAAAACCAGCAAGAAAGGATAACTTCTTATCAGCAGCTTTCTAGATAAATAGCTGTATCAATATGCAAACCAAAGTGTATCAGAAAGTGATTCATCAACAAAGCTGGCTAAAGCAGCAAGGTGCTTTAACAGGAATGAACCTTTCCCCATGAAGTTATAGGATGCCTCAGAAAGAACAAACCACAAATGCAAGATCATCAGGTACCTTACTGCAACACAACACAGATTGTGTATTAGCACATAGCAGTCCTGGAGATGACCAAGTTAAAAACAGGAAAATTCAGAGGAGTTAAATACTTAAGAATGATTGCTTTGGTGTGGACTACATGCAGGTCTGCTAACAAGGAAGGAGCACATGCAATCAAATCAAATGGCAAAAAGACACTTACTTATCTGGAGACCAAAGAGGATGACTGAGGCCACAGTAGAAAGAACAATGGCTGCTGCTGCAGAAAAGCCTTTCATTATGTTATCTGTGTACTTCACAACAACCGAAGTGTAGAGGCCACCCACACTGGCAAGAACTGGAAAGCAGACAACATGTTTCTGTTACTAGAGGTGTGGTAGTTCACCCTTAAAGAGATTTGTCTTATTCTGGTCCGTCCTTAGTCTACATCACCCTAACTGGTAAGTTAACATGGAGTAAAATGGCATACCTAATGGCATCTAGATCAGATGTGACTCAACGAAAGATGCTCTGCTTGCTGCTCACTTAATTTAGACTGCTCTTTCAGTGCTATTTTAAATTGAACAAGAAAACACAATTTTCTTGAAAATTATTTAAAAATTAATCCCTAATTATTAATAATAAATAAATAAATCAAGATATAGTAAGAAACAGTGGGTCACACTGAACTTGTAGGTTCATGCAATCAGATGTAACATAAGCTAAAATACAACAAAACAATGTAACACCCCTATACCCACCAGGTACTTACAGATGACAAGCCAGACGAAGCAGGTATAGCCATAGAAAAACCCCTTCTCAAGAACTTGGGCTCCATCTGACACGTACACACCAACCAAAGTCACCACGATCCCCGATAAGTACATCTGAATATTCCTCACCCACAAGGAAGTATCTGAACTCTTCAATACCTTCTCAAAATAAACTCCTAAAAAAAATAATAATAATTCAGTAAGATCAATGAAGCATCCACCTCAGGTGATTCACAGTTGAGTGTTTCAGAGCCAGATAAGACCACTGGAATCATCTCTTACAGACCTTTCCAAGTCCCAACAGCACGTCCTGCTAACATGTCTTCCAGGCAGGACCATTTCAATGTGTATAAAACATAAAAAATAGATTCTGTTTCTCTTTACAGTTGCATCAATTGTTGATGAGCTCCATTATTCACTTTGGCACCTGGTGGTATTATATCCCCAGGACAGTATTTATAGATTCTAGCATGGCATAGGATGATTTTTCCCCCCATTGGGATAGTTAGCAATACCAAAAAAAAAAAAACAACAACCCCCAAACAAAACCCAAAACATGCAAACAACAAACAAATGCAACCATCAGCAACAAAATTAGCCACCCACAAAAGGAACTCTGCTACCCAGGTATACCTCAGCACAGAGACTCTGAGAATTCCTTTGGAAACCCAGAGTTTAGAGTGCAGATGTTCTGAAACCACAGCTTCAAAGATTACAACAGCAAACCAAAACCTATCTATGCTTTCTGCTAATTGGAGCTACAGATTGGTTTTGAGGAAATTGAGTTCATGCTAATCTGAAGCTCTTTGTCACAGTGCCACACTGATCACCACTACCTTCCCTTGCTCTCTGCGCTGCTGAAAATCCACATCTGCTTCTCCATCACTCAGGAGGTGCATGTCTGACTAAGAGGCCTCCATCTGACAGATCACTGCTAGCAGCCTCCCACCACTGCTCCCATACCAGGGCTCTGCTCATCTCTCAAACTTGCTTTGCATCCCATAGACAACCATTTGCAGGACTCAGATGACTTCCAGCTGTGAGTCCAACCAATTAAATGTTTACTGACCACTAATGCTGCCCAAGATCCAGCACACGATACAGAAAACATACGTGGAAGCAACAAAGCACAAAGAGCAGACCTATAGGTTAGATGCCCCAGACATACACTCTCCCTCCTGAAATGACTGAGTTGGCTTCAAAGAATGTCTTGCTACTCTTTAACTCATGGAAAATACAATTCAGAATTTAATACAGTATAGTGAGACTGTATGGTTAATAAATAACCTAGAACAGACACAGCTCAGGTGTTTAAGAAAAGCAACCACTTAAATATCCTACATGATTTTTTCCCAAGTTTAAGCAACAGGATAAACAAAAAACTAGTCTTGTTCATGATGGTAGCACTTAAAATAACCCAGAATATCTACCTGGAGTTTTCTGTCTGCTGAGAACGCCTACAGAGCATAACCACATGTGATTAGTTCACCAGAAATTTGGCTGAGCACAAACCATATTTTGTCACATTTTATAAAGTAAGAAAATAGAAAGAAAGCCAATGTCAGATCACTACAGTAGCTGAGACATAGGAAAGAACGAGTGCTGTCTAGGAGAAATTCTTCTTCAGTAATGTTTCACGTCATTGGTGCTGACATGTATTTGTGTATGTGTCCAAAACACTTTTGCTAGCACTGTCAGGTCCTCGAATGCTTGGAAACTGTCACAGGATCAACAGTTTGAAGAAACTTTCCTCCATCTCTCAGGGACAAAACCACAACTTTTTGGGCTTTGCTGGAATAAAGCATTCAGCATGTGAAGTCCAGAAACTGAAGGTTTATTGCCAAAGTGGCTTAACCATATTATGGGTGGGGGAAAGAAGAAGAGGAAAGGAATCTGAACAGGACTTATGTTTTAAACAAATAAAGCCCCAAGGGCAAAAGGAGCTGCATGGATGAAATCCTCTGTCTTTCTTGCTGCCTGAAAGCTACAGCTGTCAGTGAGGAAAACACCCAGCTGCAATCCTTTTGCAGGAGCAAAAAGCCGTATGTGTCTCTAAATCCTCAAGAGTAGCCCTCGCCAGCCCTTCAAAGGGTCTGAATGTGGGGAGGCACAGCTGTCCACCCACCTCATCAGAGAAACCTAGAGTGGTAGAAGGCTTTGAGTGCTTCACTGTGAATGCCCATCTCCTGGCTTGGGAACATCTGTGGAAATCAGTACACTTTGAAACTCCCAGATAAAGTTGTTTGAGCTCTACCAAGTCTTATTTACCCTTTCTAATTCAAAATTTCCATTTCAGTGAAAAGACACCAAACAAGAATCAAGCCCTCCTCCTTTTCCCCTTTGCCAGCTAGAAAGGGTTTGATGAGTGACAAGCATGTCTGCACAGCACAAAACCATTCTTGCGTGATTATATGGCAATGAAGATGTTTTCTTACAGAAGGAGAGGGAAGCACCTAATCTACAGCCAAGAAAACATGCACCTCTGAGGCAAGTTTCAAATAGAATTGCACTACTCTGAGTAGAAATGTGGTTTGAAAATAAAGCAACATAACAAAAGTATTTAGTTTATCCAGCCCTCCTGCTACTCTCTTCCTTTCTGCTTTACTTGTGCTTCATCTCAGTCAAATTTATTCCCCACGACTACAGCAATCTGTATTTGAAGGCTGAGCTTCCAGACAAATTTGGTAAGAAGCTCAGTTCCTCTTCTTAAAAAAAAAACAAGTTTTTCATCATTTTTCAGCTGTTCACTGTAAAACCAAGTTTATAATGCTGATTAGTTGTACTGACTAAGTCATTATAGAGCTCCCCTTCATAATATTCCAAGCATTTGAAAGGCTCTTCTGCTTGCAAAGCAGCCTTCTAAGTTGCATCACATAAAAACAATAACATGTGCTCCTAGCCATTTGTTTCTGCAACTGGAGTAATCACATAACAAGCCTGGTTTGTAAGTAATGCAAGGACTGCAAGGTAATTACAGGAGGGAATAAAGAGGGAATACAGTTCTTTTTTATCTTATAACCAGCAAAGATAGCTTACAGAGTACAGTAGAACAGAACAGTTGGCAACTTCAGAGATAACTGAAAGCTAAAGCACATTAACAAGGGCGTTATCCAAAAGCCTCTGGAACACTGACAGCCACGGGGCATGAAGCACCTGGAAGCCTGTTCCAGTGTCTGGTCACCATCACAGCAAAGGAATTTTTCCTACTGCCCATTCTGACCCCCCATCCCTGGTGTGGCTTTGTGCCATTCCTGTCTTCTGTCAACACAGAACGTACACAGTGTAAATGATGCCATTCCCAAGTGTCCTACTGATGTAGAATGTACATAACAGAGAACATTCTGGTTTAAATATCATGAATTATTCAGTCACATCTATGAGAACTGCATACAGAAATAATACTTTACCTGCAAATCCCGAACATAGCACAGCAATACTTATGGCTCCAAACCCTAGCCATGGATTCTGCTCCACCTGCAACATCAACCATTATTTTTAAAAGGATGGAACACTTCAGTAATCTACAACAATCCATTCAGAGCTATTTCACTAACGCTGATGATCAACTAAGACCTACAAGACAGCAGGCACTTGTTTCTTCCTCTGAGAGATTAGCTCAGTGCCCTGCAGGGTGTGTTAAATGCCATACCCACACCCAAAAGGCACTGGAGTTTCACTCCTAACTCCATGAGGGATCAATTCCACTCTCTGCTCCAACAATTACAATGCTGCCAGTGCTAAGTGCTGCAAACAGCATTGCTCAGATATTCCACTGATGGTGCACTACCATTACGCAGATTATGATGATGGCAACTTACACTAATTGTAGCAATTGCTTGCCTTTCCAACAAGACTGGAGCAGTACCACAAGCTTGTCTGCACTGGTCCACAGCAAATGATCAAACTAGTGTTTAAGTTTTGGAGGAGGTGGCTGGAAAGAGGAACTGGATACCGGTGGGTGGAATGTAACAGACACTGCTTTGATCACAGAATCACAGAATGGCCAGGCTTGACCTCAAGAATCTTGAGTCTCCAACCCCCTGCCACATGCAGAGCCACCAACCTCCACATTCAATACCAGACCAGGCTGCCCAGGGCCCCATGCAACCTGGCCTTGAACACCTCCAGGGACGAGGCATCCGCAACCTCTCTGGGCAGCCTGTGCCAGCACCTCACCACTCTGCCTATTAAGAACTTCCCCCTGACATCCAACCTAAATCGATTCCAAGACGACGTAAGGTAACGAACAAAGCATAAAAGGCACTTTATTCTTCATCACAAAGTGGCAAAACGTCAGCTCTTACCTGCACTTTGGTAGCCTGAGCAGGCTTCCACTGAACAAGAATAACGCCGCCACACAGCATGAAGACAGAGAACCACTGCATCTTGCTAAGGGTACGGTTCAGCATGAGGACTGTGCATAACGCCGTGCAGGGGATCTTCAACTGGTACGTCACCTACAGACAGCATACAGCATTCGGTTTCATGAGCTCCTCCAATGCAGAACAATACAACAGGAACCACAAAATGACATTTTATATTTGTTGATTCCCCACAGATCCGTGGGGTTTTGTACTGTTTCTAACGACAACAACGTAAACTGGAAATGACTCCAGCAAAGAATGGGTTATCACTACAGCAGCGCGCTCTGAATGCAGCACAGCACCAGTCAGCTTTTAGTTTAGCCTTCTTAAGGCTGATCGCAGCCCCGGGTGCCAGGCAGACAGACAGCTCACACGCACACCTCATGACACTGTAGAGAGAAATGGATTTGTAGAGCAGCTGCTTATGACAATGTGCATTACCTGGTAGACTGCTGCATCCAAGTTGCTAAGAGCCACAAAAGCCATATTGTTTTGGACAGCGTACACCAAAGATGGAACACTTAATTTTAGCAATTCCTTGGGACTTCCAAAGACATTTTCTTTTAATGATGTTATTAACCTTGCCAGGCTTCCCGATTCTCTGCAAAAGGAAATAAGAGTATAACTGAGGGCCATCCCAGGCAGGTATCTGAAAACAGAAATCAAACCAAGAAATCTGTTGGGAAGACTGAGCAAAACTTGTGAGGTTATCATAGAATGGCCTGGTTGAAAAGGACCACAATGATCATCTAGTTTCAATCCCCCTGCTATGTGCAGTGTCACCAACCACCAGACCAGGCTGCCCAGAGCCACATCCAGCCTGGCCTTGAATGCCTCCAGGGATGGGGCATCCACAACCTCCTTGGGCAACCTGTTCCAGTGCATCACCACCATCTATGTGAAAAACTTCCTCCTAATATCTAACCTAAACCTCCCCTGTCTCAGTTTAAAACCATTCCCCCTTGTCCTATCACTATCCACCCTTGTAAACAGTCGTAAGGGTTATCTACAAGAATAAAACTAGTAAAAGTGAAGAAAAAGTGAAGACTCCATTTGGGAATCAGGTTAAATGCATTAACATCCTGGATAACAGCCACTGTAAGCAGTGGAACAAGTATCTAAGTATACAGGCAGTGGGACAGAAGGCTGACACCCCTTTCTGGGAGCTCTATTAATATGTGTGTCACATCACATGTCTGCAGTTTTCCAGATTCACTTTAAAATGGACCTCACTGTAAAGAAAGAAAAAAAAAAAAAGGATTATACCCTTCCTTTATACCCTTCCTTGTACTCTGCAGTGAAACACCTCTCACTCCTCAGCCAGCCTTGGTCTCCTCTCCTCACTCGAGCTGAGAGAGCGGCAAGAGCTGCACCCACTCACACATGTGACCTGACCAGACAGGGCAAGGTGTGCAGCTCCCTACTGCCCTGCAGGCAACAGGAAAGAAAGGGTCACATTTTGTGGCTGCCCCTTTCTGCAGCTTGTTCCTCAGCCTGTTGGAAGGCTGCCCTCTGCATCGCTACATCTTCCTTATTAGTTGCACAAGGGCATGACTTTTCCTTCTTCCTTGTCACCGCAGCTCACCGCCTCCAGTTCTCAGCTCTCCCAAGCCCCACACTTCCTGTTTGCCATTCTTCTTCCATTTGCCATGGACAAATACCAATGTGCAAAATCACTTCTGCTCCACCCCAACTATACCACAGACCATTCACCTTGAATCCTTGTACCGCTCTTAAAGTTAACGCTCCTTTTGCCTCCCTTACAAACACACACATTCATCATCCACCTGCTCCAAACTCCAACTATGTACAATCTGTGTGTTCCAGGTTCGTGAAATCATGGAATCACAGAATGGCTGGGACTGGAAGGCACCTTAAAGCCTGCCCCGTTCCAACCCCCTGCCATGGGCAGGGCTGCCCCCCACCAGCTCAGGCTGCCCACGGCCCCATCCAAACTGGGCTTGAGCATCTCTAGAAATGGGGCACCTACAGCTTCTCTGGACAGCTGTGCCAGCACCTCACTGCCCTCTTAATATCCTCTCTTTTAGTCTAAAGCCACTCCCCCTTATTCTGTCACTATCTGCCCATGTAAAACATTGATTTCCCTTCTGTTCATAAGCTTCCCTCAAGTACTGGAAGGCTGCAATGAGGTCTCACCAGAGCCTTCTCTTCTCCAAGTCAAACAAGCCCAGCTCCCTCAACCTTTCTCCATAGGAGAGGTGCTCCAGCCCTCTGATCATCTTTGTGCCTCTGGACCTGCTCCAACAGCTCTACATCTTTCTTATCTTTCTTATGCTTGTTCCTTCCTCAGCCACCTTATTCCTGCATATTCTCCATTCCTGACAAACCTGACTGCTCCTGGCATTAAAGGAAAATAAAAGTATGGATTTATTTCAGTGAGAATAGGCTGGAGCACTTCTTATACAGGCAGCTGCAAGGGATTCTTTTCTCATTCTCCCACAACAGAGGAGCTGCAAAAACCAGCACCAGGGAAGTACAATTTCTGAAGAGAGGTGAGCACAACTTTGTACACTCCCTCACTGTACAAGTGAGGTCTCTTGCAAAGCTCCTTCCTAACTGAGTGGGAAACTTTGCTTGGGACAGACTTGCTGACACTGAGCATGGCACAAAGCTATCTTTTGCAAGACATGCCTGGCCACAGGGACAACCACAGACAGATTTACAGACAAGCAGTACTTCAAGTCTGCAGTATCAAGATGGGAAGAGTACATGCCAGTGCACCATGGTTAACTGCACTAGCTAAGGAACTGCATGAAACATTATGAGTCACCAACATTATAGGCAGACTTGTTGGTTTATTTATTCTCCAGTGAATGTACGATATTGCCTGGCATTAGGAGATAAGAAAACTCAAAGCCAAGTACAGCCAGATTGAAGTGCTGCTGTTCCAGATATCTAGTTCTAAAGAACCGTGTTTGAAAGGCTGTGGCAGCCTGGTAAAGGTCCTACTGATTGGAAAAGGAGAAACATAACCCCTATTTTCTAGAAGGGGAAAAAAAAGAAGATCCAGGGAACTGCAGACCAGTCAATCACAACTCTGTGCCTGGTAAGATCATGGAGCAGATCCTCGTGAAGGCCCTCCTAAGGCACATGGGAAAAAAAGATGAGGTGATTGGTAGTAACCAATAAGTCATGCCCTTGATGCTATTTCATACCCGGACTTGTGCAAAGCATTTGACACCGTCCCACATGACATCCTGATTGCCAAATTAGAGAAAAATGGACTCGATGGATGAACCACTCACTGGATAAGGAATTGGCTGGACGGTCGCACTCAGAGCTGCAGTCAGCAGCTCAACGTCCAAGTGGAGACCGGCAATGAGTGGCAGTCCACAGGGATCAGTGTTGGCAACGGTGTTATTTAACATCTTTGTAGGTGACAGGGACAATGTGATTGAGTGCATCTTCAGCAAGTTTGCAGATGACACCAAGCTGAGTGGTGCAGTTGACACACCAGAGAGAAGGGATGCCATCCAGAGGGACCTGGACAGAGAGGTGGGCCCATGCCAACTTCATGAAGTTCAACAAGACCAAGTGTAAGGTCCTGCAGCTGGGTCACAGCAATGCCAAGCACAGATACAGGTTGGACAGAGAAGCCCTGAGGTTGAGAGCAGCCCTGAGGAGAAAGATCTGGGGCTGGTGGTTGATGAGAGATTCAACATGAGCCAGCAATGTGTGTTCGCAGCCCAGAAGACCAACTCCATCCTGTGTTGCATCAAGTGTGAAGCATGTCAAGGGAGGTGATTCTGCACCACTACTCTACTCTCATGACACCCCACGTGGAGTACTGCAACCAGTTCTGGGGTCCCCAAAACAAGGACATTTGCTGTTGTAGCAGGTCCAGGGAATGGCCAGGAAAGTGACTAGAGGGCTGGAGCACCTCCCCTGTGAGGACAGGCTGAGAGAGTTGGGGCTCTTCATCCTGGAGAACAGAAGGCTCTGAGGAGACCTTATAACGGCCTTCTAGTACTTGAAAGGGGCCTACAGGAAAGCTGGGGAGGGACTTTTTACAAGGGCATGTAGCAACAGGACAAGGGGAAACAGCTTTAACTGGAAGAGGGTAGATTTAGACTAGGTATTAGGAGCAAATTCTTTACTGTGAGAGCAGTGATACACTGGAACAGGCTGCATGGTGAGGTTGTGGATGTCCCCTCCCTGCAAGCCTCCAAGGCCAGGCTGGATGGGGCTGTGAGCAACCTGGTCTAATGGGAATTGTGCCTGTCTGCAGCGAGGGTTGGAACTACATGATCTTACAGGTCCCTTCCAACACAAACCATTCTATGATTCCATAATTAGCACACCCACATATATATAGTTCCACTCTGTAAGACTAGGAAGTTAGAAAATATCATATGGTATCAATTGACAGAAGTCATTACTAAGATAAGTGGTTGAACAAGAAAATAACATTTAAACAACACCTGCCTCTGTCCCCACCTATATTCAGTAAGTTAGCTGAGCATCTGTTCCAAGACAAACCACAGCAGCAAGAGCTACTTATGTCCACTTAGACTTCTGGCACGGAACTTCATCAATGAAGAACAACAGATGCCCAGTAAGCAGTTCTTTTTTTTCCACTGCAGCTGTTGAGAAGAAGTAGTACTATATTATAGCTCATCTTTGGGGTGGGTTTGCTTTCTGGAGCATGTCTTAACCGAGAATCTCTGACTCAAATTACAAAAAGGCCATGTGAAAAGAGATTTAACCACAAAAGTAACAGCAAAAAAGAATTTTTAAAAAGCCTTTTCTATGTATAGTTTATAATGCAAAACAATGTGCCCAAAGATGTATGTTGCAAAATAAGTAAAATAGAAAATGATCCAGCTTGATCTCAATATTCTAGACATCTATCTACATTTGACTTTAAAAATGTATTCTGTTCTCTACAGAGGCCTGAACAGTTAACAGATACTAACAGAAATTAGTTCTGCATTAAGAATACTCAGTTGTTAAAAAAAAAAAAAAATAATGTTAACACTGTTGTTTGCAAATGAGCTCTTCCTGATCCATTACTAGGAAATTATGTACCACCCAAGAACATGGACAACATCATTACCAAATGGCCAGCTGGACTTGAAATAAATACGAGGAGTCTTTTCCCATAACTGTACAGTTGAGTAAATAATTACACAGGTTAAAGCATCACAACCCTCCCTTCTGAAAGACAATCCTATGACTTCATTCATTCAATATGCTTTGCAGGAGAAACCCAAGAAAGCAAACACAGCAGAAGTGTAGCATAAGAACGTGTAAGAAAACAAACTGCAGCTGGAACAAAGCAAAAGTCACACTGCAGTATCCTGTGTACTGAGGTTGTCAGGCTGGATGTTTCAAAAAGAAAAGGGAGTGGGATGGATCCAACCAAACTGAACACGGTGATTTAAGTGGCTATTAAACTACAAAGGCACCTTGCCTTGAGGGAGACAAATTGGTTAGAACTCTAAACCTGGAGGAGGCCATCAGGCAGGCACTGCAGGAAGCCGTGCTGGAACTGTTCAACATATTCATAAGTGGTCTAACAGGGGACATGACCGGGATATTGCTGACTATATGACATTATACATGGTATCCAAAACAGAACTTTCAGTAGCTGCTGAAGGGTTTCTCAATGCACCAAGCAGAATTCACCAGTTCTTCTGCTACATGAGAACCAGTTCAGTTATATGGACAGCAAAGGATGGTATCCAGACCAGCCAGCAAGTAAGACATCCCACCAGGAAGAGGTGAGCAAGGCCTGATGGACACTGCTGGTGGTGGTGCTGTTCATTATCTCCCTCTCTTAACCATGGAGAAAACAAATAAATAGCTGACCGGATCAAAATAGATATCTTAACTTTCAAAAAGCTTAGTTGGTAACATTAATCCCATTTTAAATGGCAAATAAAACTCAGTTACCAAAAAACTGAGAAATAATCCTAAGAGATGACGTCCTCAAAACAGAGCAACCATCTTGAAAGTTGCTACTGGCACTTAGAAAAAAGATGCGAGCAGCTCTCCTGCACGTCAGCCCACAGCTCAGCTGTGTTCCAAGGCTTCTTCAGAAAGGAACTGACACCAAGCCAGGGAGTACCTCTACTCCCCTGCACCGTGCAACAGCACGTTCACACCTTGAGTGCTGCACACAGCTCTGGATCTTGGTTCAAGGAATGTAGTAATACCAGAAAAGCTGTCAGAAAGGGTACTAGCATGATCACACATAAACCAAACTAAGGCTCACTGGCTTAGAAGAATACAAGAAAAATGAAAAACAATACAGACGTGAAAACAAAAATGGCAAACATGAAGAGGGAAAGATCAGTCATGATGGCTTTCAACACAGGATGACAGAATACAGTGAAAATACTAGCAAAAGCGTTCATAAAATAACTACTTTTTCCATTTACTGTGTAATGATATTGCAGAACTCATTTCACAGGCACACAGAGATGAACAGGTGGTATTACAGAAGGACCACTGGTCACTGTAGTCTTTTAGCTTTGACTCCCTATATTAACAGAGAGACAAGACATCTTTCTGTAACACAGCTTGGGCAAATTTATGAGTAGGAACACGACAATTTTACATAATTCAGTATTCCATGGCTCAGCCACACTACACCAAAATTCTACAAGACTGGTTGCAGATAACCCATGCTGACATTTTGAACCTACTCCAAAGCACACAAATACAGAAAACAGGCAGACAGGACACACCTGAACATCATGCTGTTTACAAAGAACTTGCAGCTGAGGAGGACTCGAGCCCTGCCCCACACTAAGAGGACTTTGCAGTGTGACCCCCCACTCAGACACAGCTTCACCTCAGTAACTGAGAGGTGAGATGAGTAGAAGTGGTTGGTTTTTCCACACGCCCATTGGCATCCCCACACTCACCTAGCCAAGATACCCACGCTGAGGAACAGCTTGATGACTTCAGTGATGCACACAGCTGTAGTTGAAAAGTAGAGCTCTGCCCCCACCGTCCTGGTGTAGCGCAGTGCCACGGTGTATGTGGCAGCGACCAGGGTCATCACTGTGAGGCAGTACAGCTTGTACAGCAGGCTGACATTTTCTGAAAGGAAACAAAGACAACACCTCAGCATGCCCCTCACTTCAAGAACAGAAATAGGAATAGAACAGAAATAGCATCCTACAACTGTAGGACTGTACTAAAGTCTACTGCAGCAGCGTACAGTAATATCATGTCGTGAAGTGCTTCGTGTACAAAGTCTAAGATCAATTTTAAAGTCTCTTCTCAGACTCTCACGTGTCTGACAAAAAGATATCCTCCTACCCTAATAATCAGAGAATCATAGAATCACCAAGGTTGGAAAAGACCTAAAAGATCATCCAGTCCAACCGTTTATCTACTAAGTCTTCCTGTGCTCTCTCACTCTTCAGCTACACTCATGCCAAACAGCAGCCCATCCGCTCTGTGTCCTATTTGGGGGTCAGGCACCAACAGTGCTGCAGATTGGTAAAAACAAAGAGAGGGAAGTGCTCAGCATCAGCAAAGCAGGAAACACATCTCAAAAACCCGATGGCAGCATTCTCCTCCGTCTTACTTTCCACCAAGGTTAGATGGAGGTGTTTCCTCAGAACGGCGATAGGACTTCATACAAAAGGCCTTCTTGGAAAATCACTCGCCATAGAAAACAAGATGTTCTGTCTGTTCAGCTAAATTCAGCCATGCAAGGACTACTTATTACCTGTGGCCAGATGACGCCAGTTTTTACGGTGTCAGAGAATGGCAGAGAAAACAGTGCCGACTCCACGTGGGGTTTCTCTGTGTGAAAGCACCACCTCCAACTCAAGAAATCTTGCAAACGTGGCGTGACTACAGAAGCATTTTGCAAATGAGCACATTATTCCCTGCTCTGAATGGCATCATGGGGGCGACGGCCTTTCTGCAGTAACTGTTGGGGCATCATCCATCACATTCTGGATATCCTACAGAAATGTGGCTTAATTGGTGTAAGTTTACATTCCCTTTCTGATGAGCTGAGCCATGGGATAGGCTGGGGGCAGCTCTGTAATGGCTTTATTCACATAGAGAAGGGGATGAACTGCTGAACCCACCACAGCCAAAGCTGTGATTCATTCCTCCTTTTGCATAACACTTTCGCGAGGTACAGTTAACGCCTCCAGCTCCCGCAACAGCTTAAATCAGCTGCTTCCTTACAGATACGATCTCCTCCAGGTCAGTAACCACATCTGAAGGGCACAGCGATTAGAGGGCCCAGCAGCGCCTGGAGATGGGCTGAGGGCTGACCCCACGAGTCACCCGCCCGGCCCCAGCAGCACAGCTGACACACACGTGTGCTCCTCGCAGCGCTCCTCCGAAACGGCGCCGACACCGACGGCCGGACCCTTTGCATTTCAAGCTTTTTACGTCTCTAGAATCTAAGCCCACGCAGCACCGAACCAACGTTAAATGCAGCGTTTCCTTATAACCGCCTCTCTAAAAAAATAACAGCTTGCGAACCCTCGCTGAAACCAAGCGCAGCGAGACGCCGTGAGCTGACGGCGCCGGGCAGCCCCGCGTCTCCCCAGCAGGGCGCTCCGGCACAGCGCTCCCACACGGCCGGGCCGGGCCGCCCCCAGCCGAACCCCGAGGCTCTGGCGAGGCCACTGCCTCCCTGCCGGCCGCGGGGAAAGCGCCGAGCGGAGCCGCGCCGCTCACCCAGAGCGCGCCCGGCCCTCCCGCGCCCCTCCTCGCGGGTCGCGCTTCGTCTCGCGAGGGCGGGGTCGGCCCCCTCCTCCTCCTCCTTCCCCCCCTCCGAACCGCGGTACCCCGCAGCGCGCTCACCCTTCGGAGGCGACATGGTGCCGGCAGGAAGAGCCGCCGGGCAGCAGCTGCCCGCCGCACCCCGCCCCTCCTCCCATTCACCATAGAGAGCCGCGCGGCCGCCTAGAGCGCCCCGCCTCTCCGTTCTACCATAGAGGTGGAGGCTCCGCTCGGGCAGAACGTCCGCCGGCGAGGGCGGCGGCGCCCGGTAGCAGCAGGAGTGTGGAGGAGTCAGCACCGCGGGGGGAACAGGAGGTGCGTGCTGTGCGTGGCTTTTGCTCCCCGCTGTTGTGCGCTGCTGCCTACTGCTTTCACATTGTACAGATGTAAAAGGAAATAGAAAGGGGTTTGGATCATCAATTTTATATCAGTGAATGTGTGTAAATACCGCTTAGTTGGTTCAAAGCAAGGACTTGAAGATAAAATGTTCAAAGCAAATGACAACAAATGGAAACAGGCGGGCATCCAGTGACACAAAGTACGACATGAGGCAATGAAGTACAGCTAAAAACCTCTTCCTGTTGGGTTTTAGTTTCTTTTTAAACACAGGAAAGCAGAGCTTTTTAAAAAAGGATGCCCCAAGTTGCTTTTGTGTGCTGTGTGCCCACCTGCACACCTCACACCTGATGTCAGCCCACAGAATCACCAGAGACCTTAGAGCATCCCACAGAGCTCCAGCTCCTTGCATAAGCCTACACTCATGAGGCCAATGCCACAGAAGGCCATTCATTAACAGCCCAGGGACATGGGGAGATCCCATCCTGCTGGTTTTACCTCTACTATGATGCTCTCCAGGCAGAGCTGTGATATCTGGATGACTCTCGTGGCATCAGTTTTAGCTAACACCAACGAGCGCTGTGCCTCTGTAGGAGCTGCAGCATTGGCTCTGTATCTCCTGTCTAAAATCAAAGCTGTTGCTCTTAAGGACAGCGTTTCAGCAAGTAATCATTGTATTAAAATGTCAAGAAAATCCCAGAACCACATAACACATTTAAATGTTGGTTTAAGTTAAAGTTTTCTGGCACATTTTGATTCAAAATTGCTTTTTTTTTTTTTTCTGTGTGTTTCAGGACTCATTTCTATCACTTAATGCCATCCTACTAGGAGGCCCCAGCAGATAAGTCAGCTCCTGCAATCAAAAGACACAGGACATCCAAGGCCAGGCTGGATGGGGCTGTGAGCAGCCTGGTCTAGAGGGAGGTGTCCCTGCCTATAGCAGAGGGCTGGAAATAGATAATCTTAAAGGTCCCTTCCAACCCAAACCACTCTATGATTCTATGATTCTTCTGTAATTCAGTTCAGGTATATGCTGAGATTTTTACATAAAATTAATACATTTCCTTAAGTCTCTCATTTTCTCTTAGGCTTTATCTACTGGTCTTGTTAAATCCACTTTGACCACTTCAGTAGCAGCAGACGATCCTCCTCGGAGACCTGCCAAAAAAATCTGTGGTCTGGGTACACTGCTTGAGTTGTCACGCTTTGTTTGGGTGCTGACATCTTTGGGCAGGTACACCTGGGTGGAGTTCTCCCTTCTCAGATGGCTGAGATCAGTCTGCATGGCATGCGTTAATTTGCGACGCAAATTGGCCTGAAGAGACAAAAAGAATCAAATGATCAGCACTGTGTGTAGCCTGCACAATTTTAAGTCAGCCTCCTGCTGGTTTTGTGTTTTCTTTGGTATTTGTGCCTCGTGTGATGAGGTTTGGTTGTTGGTATCACAGATTATCAAATAAAAAGGAAAAAAAAATTCTTTCAAGACATTTCTAGCTAGCCCCTTGGCAAGAGGCAAAAGATAATGTTATTTATCTGATGCAGTGGTTGGCAACCCTGTCCACAGCAGGGGGGTTGGAACCAGATGATCTTTAAGGTCCCCTCCAACCTAAGCCATTCTATGATTCCATGGTTTTATGATTACGACAATAAGAAAGCCACGCTCAATCATAGCAACTGTTGTAGATACGATGACAAAACCTCTTCTTACCAAGTGCTGAAATTACAAAATCAGCAGTTAGCAAAATGTATGCTCCTTCTTCTGTGTCACCAATGGTGTACAGCACTGTAAATCATAGGATCACAGTCTCACGCTGTGGGATTCAGACCCCGACATAAGTAAGGGGTGAGAAAGTTCCCAGAGTCCAGTCCTGTTGGTGGAGCCTGAAGTCAAAGACAGCAGAGGCTGGAGAGTGACTAAGCTGGCCTGGAATTTGGTCTTCCCATCAGGAACCCAAACAGTCTCCAAAACTCCATTAGCTAGATCTCTTGTGACTGTGGAGGAAGTTGAAGCACCTAGGTGTGGAAAATCTACAGCCTAAGCTTATGTCTTCTAAGAAAGAAATATTTTAACACTTCAAGTTTTCTGGCTAGATGCTGATAATAAACCACGCTGAGTACTTTGTCTCTCAGCAGGTCAAATTGCTACCAAATTGCTTGTAAGCTCTTTGTGCTCAACTATTAGAAAACATAAACGGTTTCTTATGCTGAAGATAAACCGCTGAACACATCTTAACATCTACACATTGATAGTAACAAAATACAAACCAATTTTACAGCTTTTCTTCTCAGTTCCCACTCGTTCCATTCATAGGATTTCACAATAGTTGGAGGCAAGATATGAGTATCAGTTTGAGTACCACTGTCACTTTTTGTGATTGGTTTCATTGGAAGTTTGTCTGAGCTTCTTAACTGGATGGAAATAAAAAACAGTAAGCAAGTCATTAGTGAAAAGAACACAGCTGCTTAACTAAGATAGCAGAAAGAAACCTGCAAACCTGTACAATGCACGTAGGTAATGATTTTTACATTCAACAATATTTTTGATCCTCTGACCCTGCTAAAAAGAAAAGAAACTGTGTTCAAGAACTGTGTGGATGTGGCACTGAGGGACACAGTCAGTGGGCATGGTGGGGGTGGGCTGACAGTTGGTCTAGGGGATCTTAGAGGTCTTTTCCAACCTTCCTGATTCTGTGATTCTCTCCAGAGGTGGGATATAAACCTCATGTTTCTCACCAAGGGTCAGTTCAAGTCTATGTTCTTTGCATTGCTAGGGGTTTTGAATTCATGATGCAACACAGAAAAAGTTTAACCCACCCAACCAAGCCCTTGGATTTCACATGGTACAACTATCACATTCATTTTTATAGATCATAGTCCTTTTCATTGTGTAATATATTCCACAGTTTCCATCCCATATATCACTACGTCCTCAACCAACACATACAAATGAACTTCTGAGTGAAAGCTCTACTTAATACGGTATCTGGCATATCTTCAATTGCATTTAATTCCTGTTCCTTTAAGCTAATTTTGCAAAAATGAGGAAAAGAAACATCAGACACAAGATTTTCCTTGGCTAAGGATGAACAGCTCTTTTTACCACTACCATAATCCTTCAGCTCCACATGTTCTCCTGGTAGGAGAAAGCTGAGAACATTAAGGGAAGATGTTTCTTATCTACACCCTGAAGATCTGGAAGAGATGGACCAACTGGCATCATGTGTGATAGGCAGATTATTCTTCTGGGTATCACCCCTGTTCTTTTTATGTTCTAGAAAGAACAGATAAACCAGCAATCCAACAGTTGTTCAGCAAGAGGCAATGAGTACCCGCATATGAGGAGCAAGGTATCCAAACTGATGGTGAAGGTTGAGCAGCTGAATTAGCTCTGCGTGTTCTTTTGCTTTTTCTATATTCAGTTGAATGAACTTATCTGGATCTTGAGCAAAAATGTATGCAGATTCTTTGGAACTGAAAACATAACATCTGTCCTTGTGCTTCAGAACGCCAATAGCAGGATTTCCTAAGGAAAAACAAAACCAAAACACTATGATATGCAATCCAAAAGGTATTTTTGATCAAGGTCATACATTTTCCTCAAGTCAGCTTCACTTTTTTTCTTTTTTTTCTGAAATCAGAATAAATCTCTGGAAAAAGTTTTTTTTAAATAGAGAAAAGTAAATTTCTTTAGGTCATCACAACTGCTTCTGATTACTTTCCAACCACTGTGCTTTAGTCTAGACTAGACTCTGTGTCTGTGAGAAAAACAATGGATGAAACACATATGGGAAAGGTGTAAAAAACACTGCCCATACCCAGAAATGTTTCCTCTAGAATCTCCAGATCAGCAGTCCCTTTAT